CTTCCGATCTCCCCAAAACCCCAAAACCCCAAAACCCCATCATTATTACTGATAACAATTAGATAAAAGTTAATTAATTAGTGAATCAATCACCACTTTATATTATGAGTGATTTCTTTTTCAACTGCTTTGAAGGATGTTTTCTCCCAGTCTCTGTAAGTCAGACTCATCATCTGAATTAATTAGTAAATATTTCTGTTCTCTTCTGGGTTCGGCACTAATTCTCTATACTCCATATTCTTAATTTGATGTTCTAGGTTTTCTAGCAGATCTTTTGGACTCATATTCATTTGAGCAGGCTTAATCTATCCTCCACCGTTCAGACAGCCTCCTGGGCAGGCCATTATCTCTACATAATCGTACTCACATTTGGCTCTTTTAATGTTTCTTATTACGTTCTAAATATTTCTGAAGCCGTATGCAGCTGAGAACTTTAATACTGTTTCTCCCTCTACATTTAAAACACACTCCTTCAGATCTTTATTTTTGCCTTATTGGTATTCTAAAGGCTAACTAGGATCGATATTAATAGAGAATATTTCCTTTGCAGCTCTCCTAAAGATATACTCTAAATATCCATTAGATGTCATATTTAGCACTGCAATGGTATGCAGTTTCTTAACATCTTAACAGAAGTCAACAAATTATTCCATAAGTTCCATGAAACCCCAACCTGAAGGGCTTCCTTTCATGAGGAAATCCTCCTATTTGACCCATTTATATAAATCTATCTTGTTGAAATCTGGATGATAGGTATTTATTAAATCTACCAATTCATGGGTTGCTAAGACTGTGTCAACTTCCTTGATCTCTTAGTCAGGATTCTCTTGCCCAACATCTTCTCTTAATGTAAAATTGGGTCTCACTGCTTCTAGTTTTTTATCGTAGCAAGGCATGACTGTCACAATCTTGACTCTGTCTGGAGATATCTTGTTCTTAAGTGAAATGTAATGCTTAAGCAAGCATCCACAAAGTTGCTATGGAGATTTTACCTTACTCATAAATGGAAATGCTTAATCTCCAACGACTTTTTCAGCATAGCACACCCAGCCAGGGCACTCCGAAGATAAAATTGGAATTCCTGGTTCCTATTTACTTTATGTGAATACCTTTTTCGGTTGCTTAGTCTACTATTACTAATTTATATCTGATTATCCTAATGAACTTTTAATCTTATTATACTTTTCACTCTGTGTGAATTATTCTTTGAATTCATCATAACTCATTTAGAGGGTTAACAAGTTGAACATTGAGAGGTCAATAACCATTGATGCACTCAGCTGTGTGAATACTGTCTACAATTTTTAGAAAGTTTCGACCTCGTTATGTTAGTTATAGAATAAAGAGAGAGAGGCTAGACTTTAAGGGGAAATTGCTACAACAACAAAATTAGAAGGATCAAATAGTTTCATGAACTATTCAGTGCTGTGCTTCTGAATAAGAACAGTTTCAGCTGAAGTTACACAACCACTGCAAGCTAGACAGTCAGTTAGTGAAACCTTAGCTGTCAATGAATCACCTTAAGTTTTGATAAGGTTAGGCCTTATTTTGTGTCCTGGGTCTGACTTAATGCTCCATTCATCCTCCTGATAGTATTATTAACAACTAAATTACCATATCTTAATCTATTTAAATGCCAGATGAAATTTGCACTTTGTTGTCCCCGGGCTTGGTTGAGGGGAGAATCATTTTGACACACTCCTAGGAAGGTGCTAAAAAATCATCCAAATCTGATAGTTTTGTCGAAAACATTTACGTATTTAACTTTTAATTATCTACCACTGCGAGAATAATTAGGAAGCATGGGGTTTTGGGGTTTTGGGGTTTTGGGG